GGGGCCCGGGCGCGGGGCGCGCGGAAACGCTGCCCCGCGCTCGCGGCCGCTCTCCCTGGCGCCGGGCTCCCCGTGCCCGAGATTTGCCTCACTCGGCTTTCCACCCCCCGCTTCGCGGCATCCCCACGTGACTGGCGAGGGGGACCGGGCTAGCGAAAGCGGTGGAAGTGGGGCCGCACCGCGGCATCCGGGTCTGGCGCTGGGGCTGAGCCCTCCGCATCCCTGGCCCGGCGTGGGGTCTCCTCGGGGTCGCCAGCAGAGATCGCGTCCCTGTGGCTGCCGTTCTTCCCAGATGGACAGCCTAGAAATCTGGGGGCCTCATTTCCGGCTCCAAACTACTCGGGGCTTCAAAGGACCACCACTGATCATCAAACAAGCCACACAGGCGTTGTCTTTGCTATTTAGAGGCGCTAAACTTGAGTCTAGTTGGGGGGTATATGTGATGCTAACCCAATTCTCAGGAGTGGCGTATTTAAGGTTGATTAGTTGAGGTAATGTGCAAAATTGAAAACACGTTTGTGGTTTTATATTTATTTCAGCCATGGCTCTAAAAGGACAAGAAGATTATATTTATCTTTTCAAGGATTCGTCGCATCCAGTGGATTTTCTGGGTGCATTCCGAACGTTTTACGTGGATGGGTTATTCACTGATATTACCCTTCAGTGCCCTTCAGGCATAATCTTCCATTGTCACCGAGCTGTTTTAGCTGCTTGCAGCAATTACTTTAAGGCAATGTTCACAGCTGACATGAAAGAAAAATTTAAAAACAAAATAAAACTCTCTGGCATCCACCACGATATTCTGGAAGGCCTGGTAAATTATGCATACACTTCCCAAATTGAGATAACGAAAAGGAATGTTCAGAGCTTGCTTGAAGCAGCAGATCAGCTACAGTTCCTTTCAGTAAAGAAGGCTTGTGAGCAGTTTTTGGTGAGGCACCTGGACATTGATAACTGTATTGGAATGCACTCCTTTGCAGAGTTTCATATGTGTCCAGAACTTGAGAAGGAATCTCGAAGAATTCTGTGTTCCAGGTTTAAGGAGGTATGGCAACAAGAAGAATTTCTGGAAATCAGCCTTGAAAAGTTTCTCTTTATCTTGTCCAGAAAGAATCTGAGTGTGTGGAAAGAAGAAGCTGTCATAGAGCCAGTGATTAAGTGGACTGCTCATGATGTAGAAAATCGAATTGAATGCCTATATAATCTGTTAAGCTACATCAATATAGATATAGATCCAGTGTATTTAAAAACAGCACTAGGTCTTCAGAGAAGCTGCCTACTAACTGAAAATAAGATCCGCTCTCTGATCTACAGTGCTTTGAATCCTGTGCATAAAGAGATTTCCCAGAGGCCCACAGCCACTATGTATATCATTGGCGGCTATTACTGGCATCCTTTATCAGAGGTTCACATATGGGATCCTCTGACAAATGTTTGGATTCAGGGAGCAGAGATACCAGATTATACCAGGGAAAGCTATGGTGTTACCTGTTTAGGACCCAATATTTATGTGACTGGAGGCTACAGGACAGATAACATAGAAGCTCTTGACACAGTGTGGATTTATAACAGCGAAAGTGATGAATGGACAGAAGGTTTGCCTATGCTGAACGCCAGGTATTACCACTGTGCAGTCACCTTGGGTGGCTGTGTCTATGCTTTAGGTGGTTACAGAAAAGGAGCTCCTGCAGAAGAGGCCGAATTCTATGATCCACTGAAAGAGAAATGGCTTCCTATTGCAAACATGATTAAAGGTAAGAGGAAATTTTGATTTTTCTTTTTTTTCTTTTTCTTTTTTTGGCTAGTCCTGGGGCTTGAACTCTGGGTCTGGGCACTATCGTCAAGCTTCTTTTAGCTCAAGGATAGCACTCTACCACTTGAGCCACAGCACCACTTCCAGCTTCTTCTGTTTATGTGTACTGAGGAATCGAACCCAGGACTTCATGCATGCTAGGCAAGCACTCTACCTCTAAGCCACATTCCCAGTCCCTCTTTCTGTTTTTTTTAGTCCAGTAGTGGGGCCTGAACTCTGGGCCTGGGCACTGTCCCTCAGCTCTTCAGCTCAAGGCTAGCGCTCTACCATTTGAGACACAGCGCCACTTCCGGCTTTTTTCTTTTTGCTTATGTGGTGCTGAGGAATCGAACCCAGGGCTTCGAGCATGCAAGGCAAGCACTCTACCACTGAGCCACCTTCCCAGCCCCCTCTTTCTGTTTTTTAAGATGTCTGGGCTAAGGCCAACAGTCTTCTCTGGAAAGGAAGCTTTTGGGTTTTTTGTTGTTATTTGTTTTGATAGTGCAAATATTTGTATTCAGAGCCTAGCACTTGCTAGGCAAACACTCTACTACTTGAGCTACTACATACCTCTAGCCCTTTCATAGGAACTTTTAAAAGAATCTATGGAGCTGGACCTAATTGTACATACCTGTGATCCCAGCTACTTAGGGCAATGGTGGTTAGAGAAAAAACTGAGACCCTACTTGAAAAACTGAAGAATACAAAACTTAGGGATGTTGCTTATGTTTGTTTGCCTTTTGGCCCTGAGTTCAATCCCCAATACTGTAATAAAAAAAGAATTTGTCACTTTGGGATGTCCTCCAGGAATTATAATAATGTTGCACACAGTGTTCCATGTAGACAGCATAGTCCTTAACTTGCCTGAAAGTCATATAATTAAACACTCAAGCTACAAAAGAAATATAATTTATGTAAGGAAATAGTATCATTCATTCTACTTTCTCTGTATCCTTAGTCTATATCTTACTCTTGCTTCTAGTTTTAGGAATTATTTAACTCAAAAGACCAAAAAAGAAGACAAAGAGACAAACCTGGTTAGTTTTATCAATTTAATGTCTTAATTTTTTTTTTCAATTTGATCCAATCCTTTCCAATTCTTATTTTTTTTTTGCCCTGTTTTTTTTTGTTGTTGTTCTTTTGAGACAGGGTCTTACTACATACTCTAGACTGGTTTTGAACTCAGGACCTTTCTGCCGCTAGCCTCCTGGGATTACAGGCATGTCTCAGCATGCTAGATCTTTCAGTTCTGCTTTTTTTTGGGGGGGTTCCAGTCGTGGGGCCTGAACTCTGGGCCTGGGCGCTGTCCCTCAGCTCTTCAGCTCAAGGCTAGTGCTCTACCACTTGAGCCACTGCACCACTTCCGGCT